GGATCACCTGAGGTTGGGAGTTCGAGACCAGCCTGGCCAACATGGGGAAACCCCGTCTCTACTAAAAATACAAAATTAGCTGGGGGTGGTGGCATAGGCCTATAATCCCAGCTACTTGGGAGGCTGAGGCAGGAGAATTGCTTGAACCTAGAAGGCAGAGGTTGTGGTGAGCCGATACTGTGCCATTGCATTCCAGTCTGGGCAACAAGAATGAAACTCCGTCTCAAAAAACAAAACAAAACAAAACAAAACAAAACACTCCTGGGCCCAAGTGATCTGCCTGCCTCGGCCCCCCAAGTAGCTAGGATTACAGACGTGAATCAAGGTAGTGGTCCTGACAACCCTGGGCTTATGTTGTCTGGAGCTTCTAAGTCTGTGTCACATGCGTGTCCTTAACCTTGGCAAAATAAACTTTCTACATTTGTTGAGACTTGTCTCAGATACCCTTTTACATGATGCTCACAGATGCTGTGGTTCAGTTTGGACAGGGGAGAGTTGACAGTGCCTGTCCCCATACCTCAGTTGGGAAGACTCCAAGGCTAGGGGGTTACTAAAAAATGGCGGGGTGTGGGGTCCTGAATCATCTGGAGGTGTCTTCACTCAAAGGTCCTGCAATTGACATCAGCTGTTGCTGGGGCTGTGGACTAGGGCAACTACACAGACCTCTCTGCGTGGCTCGGGTTTCCTTCCAGCAATGGTGGCCTTGGGGTAGTCAGACTTCTTAGACAGCCACCCAGGCCTCTGAAAGTGAACAAGGAAGAAGTTGCATCTCTTCTGACCCAGGCTCGGGTGTCATGCTGTGTCACTTCTGCCATCAGATTCAAGGAAAGGGGACACAGGCTGTACCTCTCTACATGGGAGACAAGTCAAGGTGACCTTGTACAAATGGATGTAGGGTGGGAGATGTGGCCATCTGGGAAAATATAACCTGCCTTAGCCCTACATTTCATTCTCCATATATTACACACAGTGGACTTAAAAACTGAAATCAGATTATGGCACCATCTAGCTGAATAGTGTTCCTGTGACTGCTCACCCCACCTAGGATAAAATCCAGGTTCCCACCGTGGTCTAACAAGACTTCCAGCCTCATCTCTTTGGCTGCCCATTCACTCACCATGGCCTCCTTTCTGGTTCTCCTTCACATCAAGCTGTTTCTGCCTCAGGTCCTTTGCACACATGGTTCCTTCTGCCTGGGAAGCCCTTGTTCTTCTGAGGCTACCTCTCTCTCATCCTTTAGGTCCAATGGCACCTTCTAGGGAGGCCCTTTCTGTCCACCACCTCTGTCTAGTCAGTATCACATCACTCAGTTTCCTTTCTTCTAACCCTTGCTACAACTTGAATTTAACAGTCCCAGTGGTTTGTTCTAGTTTATCTGCCTCCTTGTCCAGACTGGGGCTCCACCAAGTGATCAGGTGATGCTTATCTATGTTGTTCACTGCTGAATATTCAGGTAGGAGATCAGGTGTCAGGTGATGGAGGTCTGTATAGGAGGGGGTGTCTAAGAGGCCTGGACCAGGAGGCTGTGTGTATTTGGTTTTAATGTGTCTTGGTGTGGTTCTCTGTGTTTATCCTACTTGGAGTTTGTTGAGCTTCATGGATGTGTAGATTCATGCCTTTCATCAATTCTGGATTTCTGGGAAGTTTTTGGCCATTGTTTCATCAAATATTATTATTATTATTATTTGAGATGGAGTCTCACTGTGTCACCCAGGCTGGAGTGCAGAGGCGTGATCTTGGCTCACTGCAGCCTCTGCCTTCTGGGTTCAAGTGATTGTTCTGCCTCAACCTACCAAGTAGGTGGGGTTACAGGTGCTTGCCACCATGCCCGGCTAATTTTTGTATTTTTAGTAGAGATGTTTTTTTGCCATATTGGCCAGGCTGGTCTCAAACTTCTGACCTCAAGTGATCTGCCCGCCTTAGCCTCTCAAAGTGCT